TTTGGGTGGGGACGCAAAGCCTAACCATATCACAGTGTGTTAACTATAGTCACCTTACTCTGCTATAGAGTGTTAGAACTTATTCTTTCTATCTAACTGTGTGTTTGCATCCATTCACCAACTTCTTTTCATCCCACTTGGCCCCCACACACCGTTCCCAGCCTCTGATAACTATCATTCTGCTCTCTACCTTTAACTTTTTTTTTTTTTTTTTTTTTGATGGAGTCTCACTCTGTTGCCCAGGCTGGAGTGCAGTGGCGCGATATCAGCTCACTGCAACCTCTGCCATGCGGGTTCAAGCGATTCTCCTGCCTGAGCCTCGTGAGTAGCTGGGATTACAGGCACCTATCACCATGCCCCACAAATTTTTGTATTTTTAGTAGAGACAAGGTTTTACCATCTTGGCCATGCTGGTCTTGAACTCCTGACCTCGTCATCCACCTGCCTCAGCCTCCCAAAATGCTAGCATTACAGGTGTGAGCCCCTGCGCCTGGCCCCTTTAACCTTTTTAGCTCCCAGATGTGAGTGAGACCATCTGATACTGTCTTTTTGTGCATGGCTTATGTCATTAACCTAATAACCTCCAGTTCTAACTATTTTGTTGTTGCAAATAACAGGATTTCCTTCTTTTTTATGGATGAATAATATTCCATTATATATGTACTCCATATTTCCTTTATCCATTCATCTGTTGATATATACTTAGATTTGTTCCATATATTTGCTATTATAAATAGTATCGCAGTAAACATGGAAGTATAGGTATCCCGTTGATACACTTATTTTCTTTCCAACAGCACAACAAAAATACCCCATGATCAAGTGAGATTTATCCCAGCAATGCCAGGATGGTTCAATATTTAGCTGTTAAAATAATATTCATTTTATGCCAACTAACTCCCTTTCCCTCCCTCCAAAATTTATAAAATAATTTTAATCAATTCATTGCAATTTTTATCATAATCTGTTGTGCAAGGTCAGCTGGGTAAGTGGGTACTTTTAACTGTGTGTGTGTGTGTGTTTTGATGGTGGGTGGTTAGGAGTGGATCCATAGTATTGGTTTATGGTGTTAATTATCTCTGGAAATACAGACCTATGTTTCAGGTGAAGATATGATGAAAGAATTATCAGGTGTGAAACTACTTCTGTGCTGCTGATAGTTTGGATGATTATAATTTTTCACTGAAGTTTATGCCTATAATGATAAAGGATCAGGGCTCAATGACAAGGTTAGGGAGCACTTCTGTTGCTTTCTTTTTTGGCTATATGGGAGCTTTTGCTTCTTGTTAAGACTCAAGAGGATGGATTCTGTGGCTTGTAACACTGCCTGTTTTTGCAAAAAGTTTTGTTGAAATGCAGCTGTGCTCATTTGTTTACATATTGTCTGTGGTGGCTTTTGCAGCACAGTGACAGCGTTGTCACTGTGACAGACAGTATGGTCATCAAGACCTAAAATATTTTCTGTAAAAGGCCAGAGAATAAATATTTACTGACTCCTGCTGTAGGCCATAGTTGAGAACCATTGATAGGGTCTGGGAACTGGCACAGAATGATTTTTAAAAGAGTTTGTCAGACAGTCTTAATTATGAGTGGGGAAGAGATAGGTAATGTGGAGGTCTCTAGGGTTTTAAAATTAATCTAGCCTTGTGGCTTCTAGTGGGAGTGGAGAGGATTTGAATGCAAAATAAATTAAGTAGACAGAATCAATAGGATTAGGGAAAAGATTCCATGAGATAGGCCATGGAAAGAGAGGAGTGAAGGCTGAATGAAAGATTTTCAACCTAGTTAACTATGTGGTTGATGGTGTCACAGAAGTAGGGAACACAGAAGGACAAAACGGAAAAACACTTAGGAAAATCTCAGTCATGTATTGAGATAGAGCACTGACATGTCTGGCAGGGGACTCAGTATGACCACATCAGGTAGAGTTTTATGGTTTTTGCAGGACCCAGGCATACTTACCACAGTTATATATGGCAAGTTTTATTTTCTTCATACGTAAATGGACTCAGTTTCTGTAAGAATATTTTTATGACCTGTGTGCATTTTTAAAAATTTGACAATTTGACTTTTTGTAGCCAAAATAAATTTAAGTAGGAAACCTTTCTTGCCTTTTGAGAAGTTTTAAATAAGTTCAAATAACTTTTCTAAAGTATTTAAACACAGAAATAGCAGTGCTACTAGAATGAGATAGGAAAAGTTTCAGCAATGTGAAATTTTTCTTCAAAGGCAAATTTTTAATTGAATTATGTGATAACTTTTGTCTTGACTTTTTGCCTTAAAATAATTGTGTTTTGTTATAAAGATAATGCAGGCTTATAAAACGCTAAATTATAAGAGTTGCCATAACTCCTTTTCAAACAACTGACATTTATTAATAGTTTGAGCTGTACTATTTATATAATCTGTATCCATCATTAGGGCTTCAAAGACAAAAAATATTCACTCACATTCCGAAGTGCATTTATAACTTTTTTTAATTTTTAAATTTTATATTTATTTTACTTTAAGTTCTGGGATATATGTGCAGAACGTGCAGGTTTGTTACATAGGTACACATGTGCCATCGTGGTTTGCTGCACCTATTACCCTATCATCTAGGGGTTTTTTTTTTTTTTTTTTTTGAGACCAAGTTTCGCTCTGTCGCCAGGCTGGAGTGCAGTGGCGCAATCTCAGCTCACTGCAACTTCCACCTCCTGGGATCAAGCAATTCTCCTGCCTCAGCCTCCCAAGTAGCTGGGATTACAGGTGCACACCACCACGCCCAGCGAAGTTTTGTGTTTTTAGTAGAGATGGGTTTTCACCATGTTGGCCCGGATGGTCTTGATCTCTTGAGCTCATGATCCACCTGCCTTGACCTCCCAAAGTGCTGGGATTACAGGCGTGAGCCACTGCGCCTGGCCTCATCTAGGTTTTAAGCCCTGCATTAATTAGGTATTTGTCCTAATGCTCTCCCTCTCCTTCCCCCCCCCCCCACCACCGACAAGCTCTGGTGTGTGATGGTCCCCTTTCTGTGTCCATGTATTCTCATTGTTCAACTCCCACTTATGAGTGGGAACATGTGGTGTTTGGTTTTCTGTTCCTGTGTTAGTTTGCTGAGAATTTTGGGTTTCCACCTTCATCCATGTCCCTGCAAAGGACATGAACTCATTCTTTTCATGGCTGAATAGTATTCCATGTAGTGTATGTGCCACGTTTTCTTTTTCCAGTTTATCATTGATGGGCATTTGGGTTGGTTCCAAGTCTTTGCTATTGTAAATAAGGCTGCAATAAACATATGTGTGCATTTATCTTTATAGAAGAATGATTCGTAATTGTTTGAGTATATACCCAGCAATGGGATTGCTCAGTCAAATGGCCTTTCTAATTCTAGATCCTTAAGGAATTGCCACACTGTATGCATGCTGCTACCTGCAAAATTTCGTATTCAGTTTGGTCGGAGTCTCCAATCATAAGATGCTCTGACATCACAAGCTATTTTTCCCCAATTCCAGGCAATGCACAAAGGCTCTGTTTATCACTCGCATGGTAGTCTCTGTTTCAGAGACTGGTTTATTTGCCTCACTTCTCATGGCCCAATTACCCATAAAACTGGTCTTATTTCCCAGTCTTCGTTATTAAAAAAACAATTATCAACAACTTACAGTCTTGAGGAAAATACTACCATTAAATCGGGTTGAGGAAATCAGTTGTACTTAGCAGAAAAAGTACAGTGTTATGTTTTGTAATGTCAGATTAATCAGTTTTTTTAAATATACGCGGCAAAGTTTGGGGTTTCAGTCAGAAAAATTTTATTGTAACTTCAAGTTCAGTTTCAAAAGTACAAGTATTTGGCTAAAAATAAAATTATTTTAACCTACAGATTTGTAAAAGCTTTGAAGTGAGTTTTCCTCTGTCTCTCCCTTCACTCTAGTCCCTTTCATGTTAATTTTTAACTTTGTTCAGTGTTTACAGTGTGCCAGGAATTATTTTTAATTTTTTAAAATTTTAACTTGAGGATATAGATACTACTTTTCCCTCCATTTTATACTTTACAGTTAAGTAGTAAAGTATAAAGAGGTTTAGTGACTTGTCCTAAGGTTATTCGCATATCAGGTGGCAGAGCTGGGATTAGAAACCCACCTGGCAGACTTCAAATTGTATGATGTGAGTGGCTTTACAATTATGCTATTAGCTACTGGGATGGTAAGTCATTAATTTATCATCACTGGAAACCTTTGGTCTTAAGGTGCACTGATGTAAAAAAATGTAAAATAATTTGTGATTGTAATGAATAAATAACTTATTGCAAAGTAGAAAAATTTTGATAGTGACTTTTATATTTCACATTTTGTTAATTCATTGTGATTCTGTGAATGAACTATGAGGAAGAAGGTCATCAGAAAAATCAATGAAATTATAGATATTAAATGGTAGTGTCAGTTTTTATAAAAATTTCCCCCAAGTATATTGAGCTTTAAAAACCTGCAGTTTTCTGTACACACTTATTTTAAGATTCCGTGCTAAACAGTCATTCAAATATTCAACATATATTGATGACATTTAGCAGTTAAACACATTTTGTCAAAGATAATTCTTCAGAAACTGTAATGGACTGGTACCAATTTATTAGAAATATTAGGCAGTTATGGCAACTTCTGTAAATGACTGTATCTGTATTATTAAGTTATACAACAAGTAACTGCATTTCTAACATTTCAATCCTGTTTTAGAATTTCAATTTGGGAATAAGTGATTATTGAAAAAAAAATTAAGGCTAAGACTAAAAAAGCTGTCTTTCATTTGGACTTCATTTGCTAATGTAATATAAACACTAATAATTCAATACAATTCATATAATTTGAGAGAAATTTTGTTTGGTGTTCTGTGTAAATAGTTGGCACAAGTATTAATCTTGCATTGTATTCTAGATCCTGACTTTTGCTAGGGAACTTTTCATGGTTTATGTGCCTAGATTCTGACAAGTGTATTTTAAAACACCTTTTTTCCTCATTGAACAGCTTCGATGTCATATTTGCTGGTGGTCCAGAAGAAGTTCTAAAAAAATTCCAAAAGGCAAACCACAAAGTGGTCTTTGCAGCAGATGGAATTCTGTGGCCAGATAAAAGACTAGCAGACAAATATCCTGTTGTGCACATTGGGAAACGCTATCTGAATTCAGGAGGTGAGTTAGATACTGGAAGAAAAGTTTAATGCAAGTTATAAAGACTAATGAAACAACCATTTTTGTAGATGTAGTAACTTTAGATATGAAGTTTTAAATAACCCTTATCTTACTATTACTATATTGACAAAGCATTTTCCCATTTATTATGTGAGTTGGTGTTCCTAATAACACTAGGTAGTATGAATGTTATAATTTCCACATTATAAGTGAGGAAACTCATGTTTTTCAAATTTAAGTGACTTCTAGAGAAATTCTGTTGTTAAAGGAAGAAAATTACGGATCCAGTTCCTTTAATATGACACACTGAGAATTTTCTTGCTATAGGATAATAAGATTAGTAAGTTTCCTTACTTGAAAAAAATTATTCTCAGTCTTCAATCAAGTAGCTTTTAAGAATAGGTATTACTTAATATTATCTGATTTTAAACATTTTGGGAGTAAATAAATGATCTGTCTTGAACTCAGTAGTGAAAAATATCTAACGTTGGGTGTCTGGATATACTTAATATTGCATTAGCTGTGTTACCATGGATTAAAGGAACGAACTACCACATTCCTTAGTTCAGCCTTTTGGAAATTAAATAAAATTAGGCTTTGGACATTGCAATGGCTACAAATTTATTTTAACTAGTTTGAGATTAATGTAAACGTAGGGACAAAAGACATAACCAAATGGGATGAAGGACATGTTAGAGAAACAAATTGGGTACAAATTGCAAACCACATTGGAAAAATGGATTTTGGGGATGGTCTACATGTATATAACCAATACTTTCCAGGCTAGTTAAAATAAGTGCCGCTCCAGGTTCTAGGCTTTGCTTAGCCACTAGGGTGTGATTTAGTTTCTTGGTAATGCCTCAATTTCAGCTCTTTGCACCTGCACTTTATTTTATCAACCTATTCTCACAGTTGTACTTTGGAACTTTGATAGCTCATATAGATTTTGTACTTTTGAAACCTTAAATTCCAATTTGTACTGCCTGGCTTCAAATCTCTTTTCCTCTTCGTCTCAATATTTCTACAGGTAATGCTTTCTGGGATCTCTTGACCATTTTCTTTTCTCCAAATCTATCTACCACCTTTGGATTTAACTTCCATATTCAAGTGAGCACCCAGGGTTTATCATATTGGTTACTCTGTGCTTCTTGCCTTAGCAGTCTTTCTCTGTTGGACTTCCAGTTCGTGAACCATCAAAGCCTCTCCCTAGTACGGGTACCCACCCTCACTTCTCTGCTTGAGCATTCAGCTCATGGATGGGTGCTGCTTCCACATCATGGCCTCCATACTGTCAAGACTTCAGTAACATATGTCTAATCTTGCAACTTATTCTAAGTCCTCCATTGTTTAAAACCATTTTTTTTAAAGGAAATATGTAGCTATGGAACTCTGAGACATGTTTTATTTATACTTGTTGAACATTTTCTGAAGATGACTTGCAAGTGAAATCTCATGTAAATTTATCTCAAATAGTGATGTATGTACTCAAGTGGTTAGGTTTCAGACAGACTCACAATGCTTTGGAAACAGCAAGAAATTAGCAGACAAGTACAGTTGTAAGCCAGTTTAATTAAGGAAAAGGTGTTTATAAGTGGGAAAGTAATCATAAAAGGATATCAAAGCATCATCCTTATGCTTTCTATAGTCAAAATAATTAGAGAATGGCAGAAAATATAAATGTTTAATAAAAATTTGAATAATTTCACAGATCACATATTTACAGTTATTTAAAGAACATGAGTTGTTTATGGGCATACTATTTAGTTTTTAAAAGTAGTTTTAGGCCAGGCACCATGTCTCAAACCTGTAATCCCAGCACTTTGGGAGTCCTAGACAGGAAGGTGACTTGAGCCCAGGAGTTCAGGCCAGCCTGTGCAACATAGGGAAATCCTATCCCTACTAAAAAAATTTTTTTTTAATTATCTAGGCATGGTGGCACATGCCTTTGTTCCTAGCTACTTCGGAGACTGAGGTGAGGAGATTGTTTGAGCCCAGGAGTTCGAGGCTGCAGTGAGCCATGAGCGCCCCATTGCACTCTAGCCTAGGTGGCAGAGTGAGAGCTCCATCTCCAAAAATAACCACAAAAAAAGTTTTTAATAGAAAAATATAAATCAGATAAAATATGTAATGTGAAAATAGATGCTTTTTTTTCATTTATTGAGGACATTTAGGATCTGTCAAATAAGGAAACAATTTTTGAAGAACAGTAATATAAACCATTGGAAAATGTTGCATGTCTCTGTGTGGTACATTTTTCATCATAGAAGATTGGCCATGGGATTTAAAAAATGTGTTATCTTCTAATGTTATAGAATTTTTTTTATTTGATGCCGGGCCTGGTGGCTCACACCTGTAATCCCAGCACTTTGGGAGGCCGAGGCGGGCAGATCACCTGGGGTCAGGAGTTCGAAACCAGCCTGACCAACATGGTGAAACCCCATCTCTACTAAAAATACAAAAATTAGCCGGGCATGGTGGTGGGCACCTGTAATCCCAGCTACTTGAGAGGCTGAGGCAGGAGGCGGAAGGTGGAGGGGAACTCGGGAGGCAGAGGTTGCAGTGAGCCAAGATTGTGCCTTTGCACTCCAGCCTGGGCGACAGAGGGAGACTGTCTCCAAAAAGAAAAATTTTTTTATATGGCAAGAACCAAAAAATGAGCAACCAGTGATTGGTTTTGGTCATGTTTTCTTTTTTTTTTTTTTTTTTGTAACAGTAATTTCCCTGGACCTATTTTTAAAATTCTTTTAAGAAAATTTTAATTTTGACAGTTAAAAAGGTTTTTCTTCAACTTACAGGAGTAACATTGGTTCCTTTTTCAAAGTACTGAATGTCAATGAAACATAGCAGCTTGGCTGCATTTCCATAATTCAGAGGAAGATTCAGACAGGAAAAATGATTCCGTTTGTGTCTTTAATGGACAAATGTTATTGGCAGTCTTAATGCTTATGCTCTAAGGCCAAGGAGAACAATCCAATTTTAGACTTCCTTTTTCCAGACTATGACACAAAAAACCTAGCCAGAAAATGGTTTAGCAGGCACAATGATGACTGGCCAAAGTAATGGAAACATTTCCAAAATGTCTTAGATATAAAATTTCTTTGGGATGTTTGCAGTTAGTGACAAATCCAGCATTCCTTTGATTGCATTAGCATCTCTGGCACTGACAGTAAAACCATCGTAGTAGAGATTTTATCCTGTAAGAGAGTGAGTTTTCTGCAGAGAATCCAAGAAGAGCTTTGTAGAAGGTCAGAGAAAAAATTCTTGTCTCAATCTATTCTTTTCCTAGTAAATCTGTTTCCCTTAGGAGCCTTGGAAAACATTAGTTCTCCCTCCTTTGTCAGTTAATTTTGGAGACACATTTATTTAAAAAGAGTTTGGTTATTTTCTGTTTTGCAGTTGGTAGCAAACACTCTATTGGAGTTTATATATAAAACAAGTGGCACTCAATAATTCATATTTCTTTCATGATGAGGTGTGAAATTCCAACCTAAGAATTAGACTTCATGACTTCACAACTCTGTTCAACTGGTCAGTGAAATTAATATGACACCAGTTTTGGTCTTTGAATCCTAAATTATCTACTTTCTCTCTGCTGTGTTGCAGGATTTATTGGCTATGCTCCATATATCAACCGTATAGTTCAACAATGGAATCTCCAGGATAATGATGATGATCAGCTCTTTTACACGAAAATTTACATTGATCCACTGAAAAGGGTGTGTAACAGCTGCAATTTTTTTTCTTTTATTGATTTGGTTTTGTGTGTTATATTGTGTTAATGTGGAGTGGTCAGAAACAAAGGATTTTATGATAGTGTGGCAACTGGTAAACCGAATTTCAAAATGTTCTTGGTGATAACATATTTTTAATAGGTGATATTGGTTTATGTCACCTGACTGGATATCAGCACTAGCTTAGTGTGTCTTTATGGCTTCTCTTTTGTGGCCAAGTCGGCACACTCGCCAAACTTGGTTGGATGAGGCAGAAGGAAAGAAGAACTATGTAATGCAGTGCTATATGTATTGAAACACATATTGAAATGACTTGATACTGAAATGAAATGGCAGCCCTCACACCGTTGTCATGGCCCTACCTCCACTGCATACTCACTTAGGCTGCCTTAGAATAACAGAATAAATTACATTATCAAAACTTCTGAGCTTGGAGATTTAAAGAAACAATAATGAAATCCTAAAGATTCTAGAGAATGTCTTCTTTCATAATCTTGAGTAAATAGCTGTCATTTATCAACGCAGAGCATTATAAATGTGTATTCTTGTATTCACTCCATCTTGCAGCTATAACTGTTTTCTCAAAAGCTGCACCAAGCCATTTGATACCAGAGTGAACTTCTGCGGTTTAAAAAAATGCAGTGTATTCTCACTTGTAGTCCTTTAGCCTTGCAAAGCCCTTTTATAGCTCTCTGAGCTTCTTTGATCCTAGATAGGCTAGATGCTAGACTCTGTATCCACACTTTATCCATAGAGAAACTGAGACCACATAGTCAGTGACATTGTAGGGACTGGATCCTTGGTTCTCTGAAAACCAAAATCTGGACTTAATTTTCTATTTCATTTGATAATAACATAGACTCTATGTGTTTAATTGGCTACAATTGTAAAATAACACCTTTTTTGATATTTTGAAATGACATGTGACTAAAGCCACTCAAAAGACAGTTTTTAATTTGAAAATTACCTGTAATACCCCTGAGGACAGAGATCTTCCTCTGAGATTTGGAGCCTGGATATCATGGGTGTTGAGAAAACATTGAGGCCAAAAGCCCTGGTCCTTGTTCAAGTGTTTGGTGGCCCAGAGTGGATAGAGCCTGTAAGGATGGGTATGATCCTTTTTAGGAGACTTTATAGCCAATTTGTGGATTTCAGATATTTGAAAATATGGAGCCTGAAGATTTAAGGAGATGATAATGAAATCCCTAAGAGGTTAGAGCCTGAGGATCCATGGGACTATGCTATAGACACAGGCTTTTGCTTTTTATTCATAAGAATACTTAAACTGTAGTAAATAAAGCAACGCAAAATAGCAGTGGTCTAAATAAGAAAGATATTTTTATTTATTTTTCCTTCTCCCACATTAAAAGTAATTACGAGGTAGGGAGCACAAGGCTGTTAGGGAGGCTTTATGCTGTCAAGAGGGATAGCTCTTTTGTTGCTCTATCATTGGTCCATAGCTCCCAGTTTTAATCTTACTTCCTTGTCCAAAATGACTACTTGAGTTTCAGTTATTGCATTCATATTCTGGGCACAAAGAGGCACAGTAATAAAAACAGGCCATCTCAGTTTCATCACTCTCTTTAAGTAGCCTTTCTAGAAGTCTTACCGAATGGTTTATCATACTTTGATAAGAACATATTTATGTGCCTACTCATAATACCCAAAAGAAAATCTGTTTTTTTTTTTTTTATTTTAAGCAGATGTGTGCTACTAAAATCTGAGTTCCCTTATTGGGAAGTTGAGGGAATGTTGGGTACAATAAGCAGTCTCCCATAGGCCCTAGATAGAATATTCCTGAAATTGATGTAAGTGAAACTTTGGAGAACAGTAAAGCAAGATTTTCTAATTTGGGAATACTTTTATAATATTTACCGATATAAGTTGATATTTAATAAATTTACTATATATACTGGATACAGATATAAAAGTTACTTAATTGTGTGTTTGTAGTTGCTGTCATTAGGAAACAAGATTTTCTTTAAGTGTATTTCGCAATGAGTTGCAACCATAGCAGTTTCTATGTTTTAGCTAAATACTTTAGTCATCTAAATATTTTGGTTAGACACTTAAGATATAAGAATATTTAACTTTAAATTCCCTCAAAGAACAAACTGTATTAATAATGTTTGCTGCTTTTGTTGTCATTTTCAGTATCATTTCTATTCTTATGTTTTAGGAAGCTATTAACATCACATTGGATCACAAATGCAAAATTTTCCAGACCTTAAATGGAGCTGTAGGTATGGTTCCTAAATACCGGATTGCTTAAGTACACAAACACCTGTGTTTTCAACTATCTTTCCTTTGTTATGTCCATTTGGGGGCTGTGACTAAGGTTGACAGTGTAAATATTGTAATTATTGTAACTTAAAAAAAAATACTGGACTTGAACTTAACTTTGGTACATTAAATTAAAATCATTTCCTATGACTAGGGTGAAAAAGATAAGCTTCTGGCTTTAGGTAACTTAAAATTTAGTGTGTCACCATTTGGAAACTTTAGATAAGTTTATGAATTGATTACACTTTATCATTACACATTTTCCAGTGAAATTCTTTGTGTCACGAATTACCCAGAGTGTTAGGGTAGATCCTTTTGACCCAACTGAAAGATAACTGGTGACAACTAGACAGGTAGACCAGGGAAGAGTGTGAGTGTGTGTGTGTGTGTATGTGTGTGTGTATGTGTGTACATGCTCATGTGTGGATATACATATGTGCTTGTGTATTGTAGCTACATATATCTTGATAATATATTAAAACCAATCAATACAGTAAAATTTAAAATATTATAATTAACACATAAATACTTTAAAATATATGCATAAAATTGAGAATATATTGTAATTCAATCAGTACTTCAAGTCAGTTCATTTAGTAAAAAGATTCTTAAAATCTAGTCAGGCATGTTGGTGCGTGCCTATAGTCCCAGCCATTTGAGAGGCTGAGGATTGCTTGATCCCAGGAGTTTGAGGCTGCAATGAGTTGTGATCATGCCCTTGTACTCCAGCCTGGGCCAGAAAGTGAGACCCAGTCTCTTAAAAAAAAAAAAAAAAAAAGGATTCTCACAATGCAAAATGTTTAGTTTGGATTGCTCAGTAAATTTTAAAAAGATGGCTGTGCTCCCCTCTGACTTGAGTTTTATCTTAATTAATGTGCTAGGTCTGATTTTTAAGAACGGGAAATATTATCATTGGTAGCCAATTGCAGAAACCTTGCTTATGCCAGACAATATTCTACTCACCATGTAACCCTAAAAGGCAAGCATGGATACCATTTGATAGATGACTAAACTGAGATACTACTTTAACTTGGCAAGAATAACATTACTATGAAGGGGCAAAGGCAGGATTGCAAGATGAATTATTCTAACAGACAGCTCAGTGGCTTTGCACCTCAGTCATTTTACTTGTGCCAGGTTGGAGTGAGTTTGGTATCAGTATCTGTTGTCACTGTCATCCTTCATTTTGGGTATCTGCTGACTTGGAGTAGATGAAGTTACTAGAAGTGTTGTAGCCCTTGGAATATTACATTCATGAGAAATTTTTTAATGATGACACACACACATACACAGACACACGAATACAGACACACACACACACACACACACACACATATTTTAAATTACTAAAGCCTATTTTCTCTTTTTAACCCAGATGAAGTTGTTTTAAAATTTGAAAATGGCAAAGCCAGAGCTAAGAATACATTTTATGAAACATTACCAGTGGCGATTAATGGAAATGGACCCACCAAGGTAAGTAACAGTTACTTTCATTTGGCTCTTTCTTGGAGATAGACTATGGATTGATACGTGGAATTTCATCTATTTTATTTTTAAAAATTTCTTTCAAATACTTTATTTTGGTGCTAAAATAAAGGCTTCATCTTTTACACAGTATATCATCTGGGTTTATACTAATTAATTAATCAAACTGATGATTTTTCCTCAGCAGAGTGATAGCCTTTTATTGTATTTATAGCACATTTAGTGTTTCATTAAATAATAACAACTAACTTGGGAGTGAGCCACATTTCTCTATACTGGGTATCCTTTCTCATTAGGAATTGCTCAGGACGTTAAGAGATCATTTGTTTCACCTGACTTGCCGTTTTCTAAGTTAACAACACTGTTAAGATTGGGGTATTACATATATCCAGAAAGCTTCCTCTTTTTCTTATTTCATTAACTACAGTAATGAAAGTGACATAATTTGACCAATAATATTTTGGATCCTTTCTGTTTCAAATGTATATAATTGAGCTTGCTAAAAATGTTATTGACTGCAAAATTTATAGATGAAAAGTTTGTTTTGCGTGGTCCAATCAAGCTGGAACGTAAATTGCATTGAAAAAATATAGTAATACTGTGCTTAAAACAACCTTCTGACATGCTGAAATGCCTGGTTTGAGTACCTAGAAAAGGGATTTACAGATTTTCATTGTGGGAAGAAAATATTGGGGGATGTGGGCTTCTGTTTTAACATTTGAAAATGGAATGAGTGATCTGAATTCCAGGAAAAGATATGTGAATGTAAAGAAATGCAAGGAAAACCCATGCTGGCAACTTTTGCTCCATCAAACTGAAAGAAGTAGATTCTTGTCTCTTCTAGTTAATCTTTTCCCTTTGGTTTTTATCCCATTCTAGCCTTCCTACAAAGCAATCTCTATCTTGTGCCCTCCTTCAGTCTCTATCTTATAATCAGTTTCCCCAACTCTGTCATCTCCTTATTAGCATTTTGAAGACCCTTAAGTCTCCTCCATCTTGCAAACCAAACCCAACCAAGCCAACACAAGGTAAAACATCCTCTTCAACCCACACTGCCTTCCAGGCTGCACCTGACTTTTTTATTCCCCTTCACAGCCAAACTTTCTTAAAATATAGATAACTCGCTGTCACTATTCCACTTCTTCCCATCACACTAAGAAATGCTCTTGTTAAGGTCTGTTGTGAAATCTTTGTTGAGTAGTGGACATTCTTCAGCCCTTATTTTTATTTCACCTAAAGACAGCATTTGACAATTTGTTGATCTCATTTGGTCCTAGTTGAATGCTCCTTCCTTTTGCTTCCACGATGCTCTGCTGCTTTGTCTATTAATTTTCTGGGCTTTCCTCTTCAATCTCTATTGTTCTTTAAAATGCTTATTTTTAAGTTTGTGTGCATGTAGTGACCCGCATCCTTACTGTTTTAGTAAATGTTCACAGGGGCTGTCTGAGGCCTCTTCCTTTTCTTTTCCATATACTTTGTTGGGTAATTTGAGTCATTCCCTCATCAGTGAATTCTCTAAATGCTGGTGGTTTTCAAATCCTTGCTCTAACTCCTGTGTCTTTCCTAAACTCCAGGTCAAAATACTCAAGTGGTAGATTTCTGTGTTATATATATCCAGAAATTAAGACTCGCAGCCTTACCTTCCCTTATAACCCAGTGGTTAACCAGAACCTCTGTTTTGTTTTGGCTCTAGGCACTTCCCACTCCAAAAACCCTCTCTTCCTAACTCCTGTGCATGCTGGTTTTATCTGATTTTCTCAGTGGCCATAGCAACTTTCTTAGTTCAGGCCACCTGCAGCCTCCCAGTAGTAGCAATCACACCCCCAGGATCCTGAAACTAGAGTATTCTGCCAAAGCAGAAACCCTGTCACTCTACTCACCTATATAATGACTTTCTGTGAACTTAGGTATAAAGTTGAAAATCCTCAACTTGTCTTACAAGGCTCTTTATTTTGCTCCTGCTTTAGTGGCCACCAATCTACCACCCCATTCACTGTCCCACTCCCAACACTGCTCATATTCACACCCTCTTCACATTCATTTTCTCCTCCTTTCTCCCTCTCTGCTCAACAATACTACATTACTTTCAATTTTGCAGAAGTTTCATGTTGCTGTGTCTGCAAGTCTTCTGTACATGCTTTTTATATATCCTGGAATCCTCTGCCCCAATTCCCACCTGCTGTATCTCTACCTGCTAAGTCCTCCTTATCTTTTAGGTGTCAGTGTAGTCTTTACTTTTTGGGTCCCTTGTATGCTTTTGTAATATCTGGAACTACTTCTGTTACAGTACGTATCACACACTGGACAGGAATGATATTTGCCTGTTTTCTGGTCTCTCTTACTTGTTAGGCCTTTGGTCTAGGAATTACAGAAATCTTATCTGTCTTGTTTACTTTTGTTTCCCCAGGGTCCAGCACATGTGAGGCAAATACTAGGCTTTCAACAAATCTTAATTGAATGTTAGAGTCAATAATCTAATGACCTAGCATTATTCTTGGGAGTAGTAAGGCAGATTATTTTCTGGCAGGGCAAACGAATTATCAGATTACTATTGGTTGGCTGGGCACGGTGGCTCATGCCTGTAATCCCAGCACTTTGAAAGGCTTAGGTGGGTCAGATAACTTGAGGGCAGGAGTTCAAGAGTGGCCTGACCAAGACAGGGTGAAACCCTGTCTCTACTAAAAATACAAAATTAGCCGGAGGTGGTGGCACATGTCTTTAATCCCAGCTACTTGAGAGGGCTGAGACAAGAGAATCGCTGGAACCTGGGAGACAGAGGTTGCAGTGAGCCAAGATCGTTTAATTACACTCCAGCCTGGGCAGCAAGAGCAAAACTCTGTCTCAAAACAAACAAACAAACAAACAAAAACTACTCTTGGTCACTGTAACTTTCCCTAGGCAAATCTGATAAATGAATCCCTTTACTATGTGTGTGTAGTCACTGTTTTAGCTTTCTGTGATACTGTCAGTGCCAGTTAGTCAAGAGTTGGTAGAATCCCACTTTTCCCATAACTACATAGTGTTCTGTTCCTCCTTGGTAATATAATGTTTGAATCAAGTTTAGGCCAGTGCAGTGGTTCAGGCCTCATGTCACAGCCTGGCCAACATGGTGAAACCCTGTCTCTACTAAAAATACAAAAACAAAACAACAACAAAAAAATTAGGCAGGTGCTTGTAATCTCAGCTACTTGGCAGGCTGAGGCACAAGAATCGCTTAAACCTGGGAGGCAGAGGTTGCAGTCAGCCAAGATCGGGCCACTGCACTCCAGCCTTGGTGACAAAGCAAGACCATGTCTCAAAAATTTAAATGTCTTTGAAGAGTGATTTTGGTCCTGAGAATTTAGTGATTATGGATAAGGCCTTATGTTCAGTGATTTCAACGTGATCACCAATTCCTTCCAAATTTCCAGGATGATGCTGACTGGAGCTTTAAAAAGTAACTAAAGGACATATCACAAGAAAAGGAGCACGAATCCTTAATCATTTAGAAAGACCTAGGTGTACTAAGAAATATTAAGTCTTCCTGGAAACATTTTCAATTTGCGCTATCACTGTTTCTGGCGTTTCAAGCTATGTGATGCTCGTATTATGTTTTATCTGATATGACCATATCTAGTTCATTTTATTATTCTATTAGACAATAAAATATGAAGCTTTATTATAAATATTTGGTATAATACAAAAACTCAAGAAAATTTGAATATGTAAATGTTTAACTAACACTAATACTTTCTAATATTAGGTTAAAATTAAATAAATTCAAATGAGTTTGTCACATATTCTTCTTATCCAGGCTGATGGGAAAAGAAAGCTGATCACTACAAACATTTTTTAACCTTTATAAAAAGTGGAAGGATTTTTGATATGATTTTTTGTAAGTTAGTTTTACTTATTATTTTGTTTAGTAATGGATGTTTATAATGATGGGGTTTTGAGCCATAATATTGAACTAAACATTTAAGGAATTTTTTTCATTAAAAATATACACAATCTATAAGTGGTGAAGTGATTATAGTGTGTTCATAATACTAAACTATGTAAAATGAGCTTGTTTCCTACTTTCTCCAAATTTTATGCCATCAGAAAAAATAATTTTAATAATTTTAAATAATTTATACTGCCCTCCCATATGGTTTTAATTCATAGCTGCTTTCAATTTTTATGTCTCCTCAGTGTATATCTTTGAACATTTATATTTTCATTTGTTTTCATAGTAGTATATAAACAATTTTGTGTTTCTGAATTAACATTTTATTTACAACGTGTTTAGGTACTTTAAATAATTATTTTCATACTTGTCTGTATAAATCTAACATGAATCAATTTTTAGATAGAAACTGGTTTCTAGTTTGAAGCTTTACTTCTTTACTTTTTATTCTTGAAACCCATTTATTGTTAGTAATGTATAAGATGCACATTTTAATGTTCAACCTTTTAAATATCAAACAATATACATCTTAATTGTCACGAATTTGGTTGCTTTTTAAAATTTTACTTTAAGTTCTTGGATATATGTGCTGAACGTGCAGGTTTGTTGTACATAGGTATACATGTGCTATGGTGGTTTGCTGCACCTGTCAATCTGTCATCTAGGTTTTTAACTTCGCATGCATTACGTATTTGTCCTAATGTTCTCCCTCCCCTTTCCCTCCACCCCGTAACAGGCCCCAGTGTGTCATGTTCCCCTCCCTGTGTCCATGAGTTCTCATTGTTCAGCTCCCACTTATGAGTGAGAACATACAGTGTTTGGTTTCCTGTTTCTGTGTTAGTTTGGTGAGGATGATGGTTTCCAGCTTCATCTTTGTCCCTGCAAAGGATATGAACTCATTCTTTTTTTATGGCTACATAGTACTTCATGAAATACGTGGTATTTCATGCCACATTTTCTTTATCCAGTCTATCACTGATGGGCATTTGGGTTGGTTCCAAGTCTTTGCTATTGTAAATAGTGCTGCAATAAACATACATGTGCATATGTCTTTATAGTAGAATGACTTATAATCCTTTGGATATGTACCCAGTAATGAGATTACTGGGTCAAATGGTATTTCTGGTTCTAGATCCTTGAGGAATCACCACAATGTCTTCCACAATGGTTGAACTAATTTACACTGCCACCAACAGTGTAAAAGCATTCCTATTTCTCTATATCCTCACCAGCATCTGTTATTTCCAGACTTTAGTGATTGCCATTCTAACTGGCTTGAGATGGTATCTCACTGTGGTTTTGATTTGCATTTCTCTAATGACCAGTGATGTCATCAGTGATGAGCTTTTTTCCATGTTTGATGGCCACATAAATGTCTTCTTTTGAGAAGTATCTGTTCATATCGTTCGCCCACTTTTTGATGGGGTTGCTTTTTTTCTTGTGAATTTGTTTAAGTTCCTTGTAGATTCTGGATATTGGATGGATAGATTGCAAAAATTTTCTCCCATTCTGTAGGTTGCCTGTTCACTCTGATGATAGTTTCTTTTACAGAGCAGAAGTTCTTTAGTTTAATTAGATCCCATTTGTCAATTTTGACTTTTGTTGCTATTGCTGTTGGTGTTTTAGTCATGAAGTCTTTGCCCATGCCTGTGGCCTGAATGGTATTGCCTAGGTTTTCTTCTAGGGTTTTTATAGTTTTAGGTTTGCCTTTAATCCATCTTGAGTTGAATTTTTATAAGGTGTAAGGAAGAGGTCCAGTTTCTGTTTTCTGCATATGGCTAGCCAGTTTTCCCAGCACTATTTATTAAATAGGGAATCCTTTCCCCATTGCTTGTTTTTGTCAGGTTTGTTGAAGATCAGATGGATGTAGATGTGTGGTGTCATTTTTGAGGCCTCTGTTCTGTTCCATTGGTCTATATATCTGTTTTGTTACCAGTACCATGCTGTTTTGGTTACTCTAGCCTTGTAGTATAGTTTGAAGTCAGGTAGCATGATGCCTCCAGCTTTGTTCTTTTTGCTTAGGATTGTCTTGGTTATACGGGCTCTTTTTTGGTTCCATATGAAATTTAAATTAGTTTTTTCTAGTTCTGCGAATAAAGTCAATGGTAGCTTGATGGGAGTAGCATTGAATCTATAAATTACTTTGGACAGTTTGGCCATTTTCACGATACTGATTCTTCCTATCCTTGAGCATGGAATGTTCTTCCATTTGTTTGTGTCCTCTTTTATTTCATTGAGCAGTGGTTTGTAATTCTCCTTGAAGAGGTCCTTCACGTCCCTTGTAAGTTGTATTCCTAGGTGTTTTATTTTCTTTGTAGCAGTTGTGAATGGGAGTTCACTTATAATTTGGCTATTATTAGTTTATAGGAATGCTTGCAATTTTTGCACATTGATTACAAAAGAGAAAGTAAACGAGGGAATAGCCAGTGACCTGATCTGCACGTGAACATAACTAATTTCTGAAACTGATTTGTAATAAAAATAGAGATGTTAATTTTGTGTATAAAAACTGTAGTACTTCGGTCACTGTGACCTTGAATAATTGGATATAATTCTTAAAAGGAAGAAAGAGGAAAGAATTTGGGTGGAAAAGTTTCTTTGTCAATGAAAATGACATCATACTTGGGAACATTTTGATATTGTGAAAGAAGAATCAGGAAAATACTACCACCTAGTAGCCCAAGAGTGCCCGTAGCAGCCTAACTGCATAAACAGCCTTCTGCGCCGTCTAGAGCTGCCAGCAAAAATGTCTGCAGTTTTCATGAGGAAAACAGATGTGAATGGGAGGTGGTGATAGTGGATAACCTCTGCCTGTGTGGTGAGAGGTCCAAAAGAGGGAAGTTTCTAGTCAAAAGTAATGTTTCTAAAAGATCTTAGTTATCTAGGAAACAAATTGAGATAAAAAGCAGAAGGTAGGAAAGTGACAGGTTTAATTCTGGAAACTGAAAGTGCTGTCTTTTATGCTCTAACATTTTAAAACTAGTGATCATTTTAATATTCATATAGGGATTCTAGTAGACTGATCAATAATTCATGAAATAAATTTTACATTTTTAATAAGATTTCTGAGGTGGTGGAAATACCATTCTTTATATATAATGGAGATTTTAGATATGGCCAAATATTTGGGAAATTTTTTCTGTCTTTAAAAAAAAACTTTTTCTCAGGATATTTTAAACAAAACTATGCTTTTCACCCTTGCATATTCTTCATCTTTTTAAAAAATAATGCTAAACAGGAATACATTTCCACATAGATATTTTTCCTTCAAAACGTGATATTTTGTAGAACACAAATGATTAATGTTTGCCTTTGTAGAACACAAATGATTAATGTTTGCCTTTGTCATTTGACAACAGTAAAATATTTATTTTTGTTTTTATTATCAAGACACATTAAAATGACCACATCGACTCTTGAAATGTCATTAATATCATGACTGCATATTTCCTGCCTTGTAATTTGTTTCCTGAATTATCCTGTAGTCCAGAAGAAATTTTTAAATGGCTTACTTGTCCATGTCTTCTAATTTTGCTGTAGAGATTCAATGTAGCTATATCTGTACAACGCAAAGTTTTTCCCATTTTAAAGTTCTTGTTTCAGCAGTATTTGTTTCAGTGTTTCAGTACGATAAGAATATTTGAACAGGATCCCAAATATTTGAGAGGAACCTGGCAAAATGGTACCCAACTACTTCATGTATTCCTCACCTTAACATCTCCTTTAGGACTTTAAGAAGCTAGAAAACTATAGTTGACATTTTTGTCCATTTTTTTGATCCCCATGTTTAACATGGACTTTCTTTCTTTTGATTTCATTTTACCTTTCCAATAAAAAACTATTGACCATATAATCATAATAGGGATTTTAGGTACTTCTTTTTAATAGCACGAGGCAAAATTATAGTTTGTGGAAAGAAAATTTGAAAAACCTATTAATATAAATGCTCAAATCACTACCGAGTATTAAAATTGCGATGTAGTAATTTCACTTATTTACTCAGCAGGATTTTCCCTAACGTGTTCAAATTCTAGGGATATTAAAGATTTTGTTTGAGGGTTCAGAGCAAATCTAAGTGTGTCTACCTCCATCACCTATCCTTCCTCCCTCACACCATCCCTCCCCAAAACACACAGAAGAGCACAGATTTTTTTTTAACAGTTAAAATGAATGCCAATAGCTGTTTAAGGACTGATACTTCACAAAGGGGATCCTCAGACAGATTTGAAAGAAGATGGGTAGAGAAATAATATTGTACTTTAGCTTACTTTCAATAGAGTTTGGCAGGTGACTGTTATTAGGGGTTGCCCTGGATCTATTTTGATCTGCAAGCTGTCTTTTCCTGAATCAGTACCCCTGAATCACTGCCCAGAAGCTTAGCTTATAGCAGCATAGTTTCCTGGAAGAGCTTAGTGTCTTTTGGTTAACAGAGCTTACTTAGTATTTATTTTGTGTGGCGTTGTGCTAGTTAGAGGTCACATTTACTACTGCCCCATTTACTGTAGGTGTCTGTGCTCAGCTTTAAACAGGTTTATCTTATTACTAAATTACTATTCATGTGACTCTTATTTGTATTTGTATTTTTCCTAATAAGTCTTACTAGCCTATTTAAAACACCATTTCATTGTTTGCTTTTTCTTTTTGATCATCCTTTCCAGTATTATATCTTACATAATATGAAATAAAATGACCTTTATGATTTAGAAGACCTTTATGATTTAGAAGACTTTTTTGGCATTTCTAGACATACTTTTTCCTGCTTTACAATTCATATTCTGGAGAAAAGTATTCAGTGTGCACTACAGATGATATATTAGTAGAATTACTAAAGGAATATGCCTACTGCAGAAAACATGCTTTTAAATTAGATGATTATAGAATGAAACCACATTGATGAAAGGCCTGCTTTCATTAATAACCTTTTCCTTCATTTACAAGATTCTCCTGAATTATTTTGGAAACTATGTACCCAATTCATGGACACAGGATAATGGCTGCACTCTTTGTGAATTTGATACGATCGACTTGTCTGCAGTAGATGTAAGTGGAATTGATTATGTGTGAAATGCAGTAATAGAAAGTACCTTGTCATGAAATACAGTGATTTGTAGGAAAAAAGGCAAATTATTTTATAGTTTTGATTTTATGATAGATAACAGGTACCTAGTTTTAAAACACGGTGATTCAGCCAATTGATAGATTTGTGTTTCGGAACTGTTTTTGAAAGAAAAACCAGCTAATAATTGAACCCAATGTAAGAGTCCTATGGTTAATATTTAATAGCTTACTACGATTGGGTGCTCTTATGTTCAGTCTGTTAGCTTAGGCAAAGCATTGAGAAAAAAATCATTACAAGGCTTCAGTATTTTTATTGACTAATTTTATCTGTGCTGGATTTTCAAAATCGATATGTAAAAATTAATATTACCTGATTATATAACACACTAGTGTCCTAACTACTTTACGTATAATAACTCATTTAAACTTCACAAAACTCCTAAAGTAAGTAGCACAATTGACTCAGTTTTACAGATGAGAAAACTGAGGTGCATAAATGTAAGTAACATGTTTAAGAGCACACAGTTTTAAGTGTTGGAGTTGGGATTTGAATATAGGGAGTCTGGCTCCAGACTATGTTCTTGACACTGTGTATTTTTACCTGTGTGATGTGTATATTCTAGGCATGGTGTTACTTGTGTGTATTTCAGAGACAGATATAGTTATATTTTATCATTCATGTTTTGAGGGTGAACAAAGAGTTGAAAATATTTATTATTAGTCTATAAAACATTTTTATGTATCTTTGTTCTAACATCAGCCAGAGCTGATGTCTTACAGTAACATTTTTCTTCCAAAAAATTGCTCTCATAACTTGGAAGATTATATGTACGAAGCATTGATTCTAGGGAGTTATTTTGTCATTAAGACTGATTTTTTTCCTTCATTCACCATAGTTTCATTGAGTACCTATAGCAGCCAGAAACGTAGAAGCTATATAGGCAAAAATAAAGCTCTTAGGAATATAGTACTACTAACTCTGGAACCCATGCAAATGCAAAATACTTTTACTGTAATATGTTCAAGCTCCTGAATTAAAGAGTTTCTATTCTTACCATTGTCTGAAAGGAGTATAAAGAGTAACTCGTGTACATGTAGGAGCTTATGAATAGAGCCCTATTTTACTTGAAAGTAAGGTTTTTGGCCAGTCTCTCAAATAGCAAACTGTTTCCTATCTGGAAAGAATGCCAGAATATTTCTGAATGAAGCTGCATCATGAAGATATTTAAAAATTTATCCTGATCTTTTTTGCTGAAAGTAGTGTTGTCTTCTGGAGGGCAAGTTAATACTTTTTATCTATTTTGTGTCCTTTTATATAAACTTTCTGGTGCAAAGGTAGAAAAATATTTATATTAACATTTTTTCTTTTTGCATGTTAGGAGTATGTGATTTAATACTTAAGCTATTTTGTCTTACAGCTTGTTAAAATGTGCTAGAAAAGAAAACTATTCATTCCATTATGCACAATAAAATTATGTGCTACATACAGCTATTTTTCAATAGGGATATAAAAATTAAAATTGTGTAGGTAGTTAAGTCCCAAGCCTATCGTAATGTTAGATGTGGGCCATAGGCAAGTTTCTTTATATGTAAAGTCATAGTGACTTTCTCAGAGTGTTGGTAGGAATGTTAAATGAAATTTTATACACATATATATTATGAATATATATAACAAATATGTAAATAATACTTTATTTGTATAAATTTAATATACATATACGAAGTGGTCAGCCTTCAATAAATGTTAACTGTTATATTGTTGTTATTATATAAACATGAACTTAGGTTGATAATGGTGATGTAGTGGATTGAAACCCAGCACTTTACCCTCAAATATGTGTGTTCTGGGTTACTTAAATTTCTCTAAATCTCATTTTCCTCATGTGCAAATTTGGGAAAAGACCTCTAAGACTTTTATGAAAATCAAATGAAATACATCATCTCATTTGATAAAGGACAGTGTTGACCTACTTTTAAAATTATTTTTCCTATTAAATTGAGAACTACTAGAGAGTAGATATTTTGTGTTCTTTGTATTTGTTTATTCATTTAATAAATATTCGGGCAAGTGAATGAATAAAGAAGTATGATAGTGTACAAGGTGTACTTTTATGCAAGCATATGTTATTATACAGATAATGGAGGAATGTGTGAGGTACTGTCTATGAAAAAATGGAATAAGGTTGCTAATTCAGCACTTAACGTATAAGGTATTTAAAAAAATTTGTAGTTCTTTTGTTCAGACTTTAAGACATGGCTTTGGTAAGATATTACAAACAAGTCTTCCATAGATTTCTGGTCATGACACTGTTATGTGGGCATTTACTTGTGTTTCTGTCTTCCCCATCTACTTGAAAGTCTTTCAAGCCGGGAACTTTCATTCCTTTTGCTAAATACTGCCCATGATGTGGATTGGAATGTATAATGGCTATTTCAGAATTGTTTGTGCAATTAATGAAGGATAAACTCCGCACCAAAACATATCTAAAGAGAACTTAAGAAAATATATTAAAACATATACATTAAGATAAGATATATTAATATTAGTAAAAGAAGATAGCTCTCCTTATACGTAATATAATAATGAAAGGAAATAAAAGGATAAAGTCTCAGTTCTCCCACGATTGCTTTTTTTGTGCTCTAAATTAAGCCCTGAACTTTAAGCCATGAAAACAAAAAGAGAAACACAATTAGTATTTTGTTTCTTAGATGAAGCTTTCAAAATAGCTTTCAGATGTGAAGAAGTTTCGGCAAGGGCTATTTTAAAGGAAGCATTGACTAGTAGTGTAAGCAGTACCATGAATTACATTCATGTAATAAATATGATAATTTCATCTTTAAACCTAACTCATAACCAAGATGGGATTCAGAAATATGATAATTTCATTTTTAAACCTAACTCATAACCAAGATGGGATTTAGTAAAATCACTTTGATGAGAGGGCCACAAAAATTTGTTTCAAGTGTTAGAGAACTGCCATGGGGCAATTCAAATTTAGCAGATTATGTTGAATTGGTATTCTAGTATTTTCTGTGTCATGGTGATTAAGATTTGAATAAAATTTAAAATAAAACCATACTAATGATAATTTTTTATGTTTGGTGTAAAACAAAGGTCCATCCAAACGTAACAATAGGTGTTTTTATTGAGCAACCAACACCTTTTCTACCTCGGTTTCTGGACATATTGTTGACACTGGATTACCCAAAAGAAGCACTTAAACTTTTTATTCATAACAAAGTAAGTATTTGAGAAAAGAATGTTTTATGTTAAAACTATTTCTGGTCTTTTTTGGAACTATTTGTTATTTATGTCTAATAAAATTCATTGGGTTAAGTTCAGTGGAGGATTTTTGGAGTAATTATAGCCCTGCCTTTTTAGGACCTAAGGATTTTAGAGTCTAGAGACTAGCACCACAATATTGATAGGAGCCACATGAAACTGCCAGTTTCTGTAGATCAAAAATGACTGAATATTAGCCATCATCATATAGCTTAAATTAACATACAGTGAAGGAGATTCAAAGGGCCTTAAATCCCTTTGCCTTTGGGTTAGTTATGGTACTTTCTTCTATAGAATTGGTCATTAAATTGTTTGCAATTTAAAACAATAACATATCATCAAAACTTGAAACAATTTCCAGATAGAGTACTGTTTTGATGAATCACACAAGGGCATGCCATTCCCCAAAAGATTTTGATACTGTCATTTTCTTCAAAAATATTCAGAGCCTCCTACATACCTCCCACATATTTCTAAACTTGAAGATATTTTTCCTCAATATTTTTTCAGTTATTTTTCATCTGCTAAAACAGTTGGTATTTAACATTGTCTAGAAGAACTCAATAGCTGTGAATTGTGCGATTTTCTCTATTCTGTCCTAATATTGTTTGTTTACCATTGTTCTTTTTTCCTAATGTAAATGTCAGCTAACCATTCACATTGTCCAGGGAATATTTTAACTGCAGGAAGCTAGCTTAAATGGATTTAAAATGGGGAAAAATTGAGCATTTGCTTTGTAAAATATGTTGTAATATATATACTTTCACTAAAGTATTTTGGTTTTATGTATTATCTTTTATTTATATTTTCCCTGCTTTCATAGGGCCTTAAAATCCTTGATGGCAGAAGTTTTTTCTTACCTTCAGTTATTTAGTATTAACTCTATGTTGCTTTTGTGTGATAAGTTATTTTAAAAATCTGCAAACAACAACAGCTTTTCAGAAAACAGAGACTTGACAAAAATCTCTGAAATACTCTAATGACGGAGACAGATAATCTTATGTGAATTTTAGCACAGTTGAATCACACTAAAATTGGTAACTTTTATGTTGATGGTTTTCCCATAGAATTTTGTTAAATTTTTCCTTTTTTTGGTAAATAAACAACTTTATTGTATATGACCATTTATTTTGCTCTCTGGTTTCAAAGAGTATTTTGTAAAATGTGATTATTTAAATTTATAACTTAGATTGATGACTATTATGCTTGGAAGACATAGTTTTCTAGACATTTTACAACATATATCTAAGATTTCCAGGCTACAGGCCATATGTTTCTTCTCCAATTGGAAACATTTTATATTACTCAGGATTTAAGTATTTATGCAAACACCTATTAAAGATTTAAGTATTTATACAAAGACTTGTCTAGCAGTAGATGTTGACAGATTTTTGAAGCATCTTTAAGAATATTGATATATATGTATTTAAGATTATTCATGTGACATTTAAGTGATATCTAAATATACCATGTTTAATGTGGTTATTATTTTATATGTAATTGAATATCTGAATTGTAGAATTCACGACTTTGAATGTGAAGCACTCTCTACATATGAATACTTCAGTCATCTTATTGTCTTATTCTCTAATTTTTGATTTTTAAAATATGTTACAGGAAGTTTATCATGAAAAGGACATCAAGGTATTTTTTGATAAAGCTAAGCATGAAATCAAAACTATAAAAATAGTAGGACCAGAAGAAAATCTAAGTCAAGCAGAAGCCAGAAACATGGGAATGTATGTTTTAATAAATTAAAATTAAATTATTCTACTAAGGAAACTTTAAGAAAAAATAAACTTTTAAATTAAAATTGTTATGCTAAATTTGGGTGTCTCAAACTATTTGTCTGTGTATGCAGTAGCCAACTTAGACTGCGTTTATATTTGTACGTATTTATACATAAAGGGCTGTAGAAGTTACTTATGTTTTTCTTTTAATGGCTACGAGTCAATATGTTTAATCAAATGATGACTCAAAGTAAGATCAAGATTTTTTAAACTGCAGATAAATGAATAGTATGACTTTCATAGCAGTGACTTGAAGTTACATGTACGCTCTGAAGGTTGTGTGTAGTAAAAGTGTGTTTTTAGACTGTGGGGGAAACAGGTGCTTTTACTCTCCAGTTGCTCACCGATCTAGATAATACTGTAATCCCAAGAAGGGGTATTGTAGGCCTTTTGTTTAGCCCTGTTAATACTTATTTCTACTAATAAAACTCTAGTAGTAGTAAAAACAATCGTGTATTCAGTGAATGCCAGGAAGTGTGTTAAGAGCAGCTGATAAAAAGGTGAAGACATAATCCATTCTCATCAGGAATTAGTCTTATCTACTACGAACCCTCATGCCTGTGCTGCAGAAGCTGAGGTCCCAGAGGGTTGGATTCTGACTAGGTTGGGGGTGTAGGGATAGACAGAAAAGAGGCCTCTGGAAAACCAAACTGATGTTATTACTAATGATTCCATAATTTATTCATTGGAGAATCCTCTGGGTCCACATTCAGAACATATTTTTTAAATTTTTTTTTCATGATTGTACCAAGTGTTCCTGTCTGGTATTTTGTTTGACAGTTGCTTGGAACAAATGTGGTGTGGAGACACACACTGACAACAGCAAAAAGTGCTGGCTGGGACTGACAGGGAGGGGAGCTCAGAGGTAGGAAGTTGATAACCCAAATGTCATCTGGTATCTTCAGTTGTTCATTCCTTGATATTCCTGATGATAATGTTACAAACTGTACCAGGGAAAGCAAAAATAGTCACTGCCCTTGATGAGAAGGCAGGGGAATAACTCTCTTAGAAAACTTGATGCAAATCAAGTTCTTAAAATATTAATACCTGAAAAATCATATACTTATATCTCCAACATTCTTTTAAAACTGAGTTGTGGGATATACAAGTTGCATTTGTGTGCATGTGTATGTATGTGTGCAAAAACATTTTGATTTGTGGATGTTTTATGCCTTAAAATATTTAGTGGCTTGAAAATATATTTTAACTGGCCTAAAATTTTAGAGGTGATCTCCTTATGAATATCTGTGTTAAATTGAACATTTTGAAATTTAAGACAATATATATATATCCTTTCAGCTATTGTCTTTCTATTTTGATTAGAAAAGTATGCTAGAGAACCATATTTTATGTATAAGAATATTTATGTTAACATTTTTCAGTCAGCAGATACTTATTTTATCTCATGCCCATTTCATTTTCTTTTTCAATGTTAGGGACTTTTGCCGTCAGGATGAAAAGTGTGATTATTACTTTAGTGTGGATGCAGATGTTGTTTTGACAAATCCAAGGACTTTAAAAATTTTGATTGAACAAAACAGGTACTGTCTAAAATTCAATATCAATTTATGGTTAAAATGATCATTTTTCATATTGATGTGAACATAGTGTAGTTATTGCGTGTTTAGTAAATTGAGGGAACTTAGTTATATTCTACAGCTTATAAACTTTTCAATTCAAGTTAATTATTTTTCATTTTAAGAGTCATAGAAAACAACCTGAATACATCTAGAAATATTTAATATTAGTTATAATCACAAATACAATTACTTGGCCCATTTTTCTGTTTAAAGCTAGGTGAAATTATGATATATCTGATACTAAAATTTAGAGTTGTTTTATTCTCTATAGATATTTTTAAAGTAGAATTTCACAAAACTTCTGACCAAAATAGTTATTGCATACAGAGTTGTAGTCCTTAGTATCAGAAAGAAATTTCAGAGGTATAAATCATCCCACAGTCATATTTGTAGCTTTATTTACTTTTAAACTAATTAACACCTAACAGCGCCTATTTGCTCATTTAACTCAATTGAAATGGGAAAAAGATACCACGTATATCAGTTTATAATGATATTAATGTTTGTTTGTCAATACTACTACTAATACTACTAATACCATTTTTACTACTCTTGTTAAGAACTCACCATTAACAAGTGCTTATTAAGTGCCAGGTGTTGTAAGTACATGTATTAACACAATTATTTCTCATAATAAGTAGAGTGTTTAGCAGATGAAATGTTAGAATGACTGTTTTTATTTTATTAAGTAAGATACATGAGAAATCTAGTATACTTTATTAACCCACCCTATATATAATATCTATATCTATATCTATATAGATATATCACTAGAATTTGTAAATTTGAGAATTTAGTTTTTACTTCAAAAATCTAAGACCTCTCTGTAGCAATCTGTATATACAACACAACTGTATAGCTGTGTTATAGATACTCAATATCTAAGTTAACTATCTATACATTGTAGGTAATTTTCCAAAGCATATGAATGAGGTTTTGATCATTTGGCAAGGAAAAGCAGTTGTGATACCCTAGAGATACCAAATAGTGTATGATTTGTAACTCTTGAAACCTAGTTTAATTCAGTACTATTTTCTTGAATTTGCATTGCTTTCTCTTAATTTGATTGAAATGCTATAGTGTGTAATGCACATATGCTTTTTAATAATATTTAGATGTTATTATTATATGGCCCAACGTGTGTTTATTTTATTTCACTTTTGTGCATGTAATAGGGCGCAGCTGGTCTTCACAAGATAGAGGTATTTAATAATATTTAGATATTTTCATTTTATGACTATAATTTAGATATTAATTATTCTCTTGGTGAACTATTTAATGAATTTACACCATGTATTTGGCATATATCCCCCTTAATATTAAACATTTTAAACCTTATAAAAGAAAAAAAAATTCCCTCATAAGGGACTTACCTGCCATCTGGGTCCTTACCCCTTAAAGAGTAAAACTCAAGCCATGTCTCCATGGAATTCTGTTAGTCAAAGGTTTAGGTTTATGGAGTACCTATGGTTCTTGCTTCTGTATCTAGACATGCGGTTTCTATAAGCTATTCACATATGCCAGGAATGTTGCAAGATTTAGTAGATTCGACTGAAGGGTAGAGAAAGAGATGTGACACATCTTGGGCATGTGGCTTTCTAGCTTCTCATCGGCTCTCTTTTTTCCTCTCCTCTTCCTATCTCTGTTTGCTCTCTTGCTCTAAATTTTACTCCTTAAATTGTATAATAATATGAATCGTTCCTCGGCTGCCATCCTTCCTTTTCATTCACAAAAACATCGAGATATACAGCAGATGGATTTTGGTTTCCCAAATTTGTTGGTTTAAACCTTTTCAGGAGGCAGCTGGGGTTATAAATTACAAGTTCTTTTTAAATTAAGTATTTGATAGTTATTCATATTGAATTATTTCCAAAATTAATGTATGTAGATTCTAATTCATGTTATTATTTCCAATATTGTAGGTATTCAAAACAAAACAATATATGTGTTTCTGATTAATAGTTTAGTCGGAATTTGGAAGAATAAACCAAAATTTATTATTTTGCATGATGTGTATTTATTTTTATTTATTTTTTGAGACGGAGTCTAGCTCTGTTGCTCAGGCTGGAGTGCACTGGCACGATCTTGGCTCACTGCAACCTCCGCTTCTCGAGTTCAAGCGATTCTCCTGTGTCAGCTTCCTGAGTAGCTGGGATTATAGGTGTGCGCCACCATGCCTGGCTAACTTTTTTTGGTATTTTTAGTAGAGATGGGATTTCACCATGTTGGTCAGGATGGTCTCAACCTCCTGACCCTGTGATCCGCCCACCTTGGCTTCCCAAAGTGTTGGGATTATAGGCATGAGCCACCGTGCCTGGCCCGATGTGTGTTTATTTTATTTCACTTTTGTGCATGTAATAGAAAGGGCCCAGCTGGTCTTCACAAGATAGAGGTATTGTGAAATAGGGTTTTTTTTTTTTTTTCTTATAAAGAATAGTTGTTCCATAAATTTGCTTTCTAAAATAAAGTTTAGTGTTGCCAGGACTAGCTTACTGTAATCACAAGTCATTTTTTAAAGTCATGGAAAACTGGAAACATACTTAAGTAATTTGAGACTTAATTACAGGAAAATTGTGCCTATTTACAAACGTCTCAGTTCATTTTCATTCATTTTTTAAAAATTCAACAAATATTAATTGAATATCTTAATGCATTGGGGCTGTTTGCCAAGTGACAATAAAAATATTTGTTTTCATTTAGTATAGGTTCCAAAATACTTTAATTAAACTTAAATATAATTAAATAACTAAAGTAGTTTCCCTCTGTTGGATGTAAGCAAGGCATTTTTAAAAGTCATTTTTATGTATTCATTAGCATTTTCAATTACTTTTTCCTTCTTTGTTACTCTTTTTAAGAAATATGGTTGAAAATTAGCAATATACTTATTTAAGCAAAGATGTTGGGAAAGAAGATCCTTATTTTATTTTTATTAACTGCAGGTTTGTTAAATGAGCTTTATTGTGTTATATGTCATGCTAAGCCCAAAATACATAATTCTGTGGTAATTTAAAAATAAATAATTATATAGGTTTCTCTCTCTCTCTCACTCTCTCTCTGTCTTCAGAAAGATCATTGCTCCTCTTGTAACTCGTCATGGAAAGCTGTGGTCCAATTTCTGGGGAGCATTGAGTCCTGATGGATACTATGCACGATCTGAAGATTATGTGGATATTGTTCAAGGAAATAGAGTGTAAGTTACTTGATTTAATATTTTAATGTGAAATATCATAATCTAAAGATGTAGTCTTATTAGTATTACTTGAAATTTTTTTTTATTCATCTCTTTTCTTTATAGTTAATGGGAATTTGGGAACCCAAGACCACTTGGAATCCTGAAATACCAGTATAAAACTAATATTTAAAAAAATTGTTTTAAAGTCCCAAATCTTCAAAGGAACAAGCTCATTGCTGTGGGGAATACTAAGAGATAATATATGGTTACCATACTCACAGTATGGTTGATAGAAGAGTAATACTCTTTATTTAAAAGTTTGGAAAGGGGATTTAGTTTACTGACTTTTTAATGGTTATAATTAAGGGTTGTTTTGATAGGTTTTAAAATTTATAATTAAGCCAACAGTAACACTAACAGCCAGAACACTCCAGTATTCCTGATTGCATGATGTTTTTGTGTGTGAAATAGCTATTATTCTGCTTTAAATATAAGTTTTTTCACAAATATTAGATTTTTACTTCTAGAGATTGAAAAGAATATATTTACTGAAAAGCGTGTGCATGATTTATATTTATTTCAGAGACAATGGTTGATATTACTAAAAATAATCACAATTGAAATAGTTTTGCTAAGGTAATATTGGGGAAGAATGTCATTCTTCTTTTCATACATATGATGGACCAGAGTGACTAAGATATTACATGCTTTGCCTTAGTTCTCAAACATGTCAGCCTGATTACAAAGGGGCAGTACACTCTCAGGACTAAAAGGATGTGCCCTTAAATTTAGAAGAAAAAAAAGGTACACGTTTCTGTTCAAATAGTTGAGTGGTAAAAAGATGTGTTGCTTGTTGAAATAGTAACTGGTGTGGAAAGCTTCAATCTGAATGATGTAAATACAATAAAGGTTTTTGTTAGCTGCAATTAAAATGCATGGTAGAGGAGAAAATGCTATTAAGATTGTGTTCTGTTGTTTCTATGCAGTTGTATTGACTCTGGGTGAGTTGTATAGACAGTATACCCGATTGTATCTTGGGCACATCAGAAATGAGGGTTTGTGAAGGAAGAAGGGAAAATTCGTTTCAAATTGCTTTAGGCATTGGTGATTTTCTGTCCAACCTCCTATCATTGTTGTCTAAAGTATAAGGAAAAAAATATGACAGAGGCTTTTGAACTGGAATACACTTCATGTCCAAAAGCTACACGAAGGAGCAACTTTGTGTGTGTGTGTGTGTGTGTGTGTGTGTAAGCTGAAGCACTGAATAATTCCCCAGAGATTAATTTCTGAATTTAGCTGATACGTTCTATACAGAAATTCCTCCTTATCTGTGGTTTTGCTTTCCATGGTTTCAAGTCAACTGTGGATTGAAAATACGAAGATATGTTGAGATAGAGAAATTGTAAACATTCATGTAACTTTTATTACAGCATATTGTTATAGTTCTATTGTTGTCTTACTGTACTTTATTTATAAATTAAACTTTATTATAAGTCTGTATGTGTAGGAAAAAACATAGTAGTATATTTGTAGGGTTTGGTACTATGTGCTTTCAAGTATCCACTAGGGTCATGGAATGTATCACCCTCACATAAGGCGGGGACTGCTGTAACTCCTTAAGGCATTTTTCTTTGAGGCTGGTCTAGTAAGATACAATATCATATTTCTTTTAATATCTAACTACATTTCTTGGTCAAGATCTTGCCTTCATGTTCTCTAAAAGCAAGGCACAGAGTCTTAGAGGCAAAACTTGTTTTACAGTTTTTATGAAATGAGTCATTTTCAGAGTGAGAATATAGATGTGGGAAAGGATGAATTACAAAAGAACCTTCCAACATTCATGTGCTACCAGCTGTATTTCTTCATGTTTTCCTTTTTCTATAAAATATTTAAGATGGCTTAATGAATGGTAAGAGAATATAGTTTTGGAGAATTTTAGGCTGTATTCAGTGGTATGCTGGTCAATGTGTAACAACTGGCTTCTGGAGGTGGAGGATTCCCTGGTTTAAACAGCTTGCCCATTTGTTTGGAGTAAATACTTCTACCATGGCTGATTTTAAGTTTCCAATGTGAAATTACTGAACATGGACTTGGCAGTAAAAGTTAACTTTGGGGAGCCAGTATGAGCTGTGTCTAGTGTACCACTGGTTGTGTGTTATGATTCATCCTATCAAATTCTTTAATTTTAAATAGAAACACCTTCTATATAACAGATTATAGTAGTCTAATTGTAACAACTGATTGAGATATGATAGCTATAATAAAAACGCCAAACAAACACCAACCCAAAATTGAAATGTATTCAAAGGGGGGGTGGTTTATCTCCTGAATCTCATTAAATATACTATAAAAAATGTAATCATATATATAGGGCAAATATCATTGAATACATTTGTATATTGATTCAATAATGTGTGTATACAAAATCTAAACACAAAGCATTTATTTTAAAAAGGTAAAAATGAAACTTAAAATTGTTTCTATTTGTGGTATTTAAGAATGTCTTCTCTTTACTTTCAGAGGAGTATGGAATGTACCATACATGGCTAATGTGTACTTAATTAAAGGAAAGACACTCCGATTAGAGATGAATGAAAGGAATTATTTTGTTCGTGATAAACTGGATCCTGATATGGCTCTTTGCCGAAATGCTAGAGAAATGGTAAGATATGCAATGATGGCTTGCTTGAATGTTCTTGTAAGATGGCTTGCTTTACCAGTTCGTGTGTCACTGTGTTTTGATGCCCTTTGTCTTGCTAATTTGTAAGTACTAGCCAATTTTTTTGGTTCTGTATTAAAAATTGGGGAGCAATTTTGGAGATAATTTAACATTTACTTGTAGAAATGGCATGAAAAATGTTAGTTTTTGTGCTCACGCTAATTCATAGGCAACAGAGTTGGATTTCAAAAATAAAGTTGTGTTTGTTACAAATCGGCTTTGCTCTTTTAAGAATACATCTTTATTTTAATTTGAAATTCTATAGTGAACACTTGACCTAATTAAAATTAATTAGATAAACTTTGATGAAACAAGATTTCCAGATTTAAAGATGTTTTTGTTCTAAAATTAATGTCTACATTTTCTCTAACCAGGTGAAATTTTAAAATTATTATTAACTTCACATTCTTAAAAAGCAGGATTATTATCACCAAACTAGTAGAAAAGTTGAGATACGTAGTATATTTACTCTAAATAAAATACTAATGATACCTTGCTGCACTACAAATAAACTTAAAATGACTAGAAAATTCAAAATGTATAGATATGGTTTAGAATATATTGATATGATTTTTGGTTTTGGAAATGATAGGGCTATTTTATTTCTGATTTCCAAATTTATATAAGCAATTGTGATTTGATGAAAAATCAGAAAAGTTGGCAAGTATTTTTTTTCTTAGTTTAACAAAGCATGTGTTGTTTGAATATGTTTGTTTTCTCTACAAACCTATGTGCATTATTATGTGATTGTATTTTGTGCTCATGTTTGGCTAATTTGACTCAACAGCGCATCATGGAATGGCCTCTCTCACTCATTTTTTCCATTGTCTTATGTGTCTAATGAAAATTCTGCTAAGGAATGAGCTTAGACTTATGTTTGACCCCCCAACACCTCCCAAAAAGAAAAGAAAGGGCTGAAAGAGCTGGAGATGTTTCTTTGTGTGCGCTATAAGCTTTGCTTGTTCTGCATGTTGTCTATGAAGGACATTTCAGAATGTTAGCTTTTGATCAACAGCTGCTATTATTTTTATTTACCAAAGGATACCTGAGAGAGCGGGTGTACAGGTCAACTTACCCAATGCTTCTCTTCATTTTAGACTTTACAAAGGGAAAAAGACTCCCCTACTCCGGAAACATTCCAAATGCTCAGCCCCCCAAAGGTGTTATTTTTACTTATTTTATTTATTTTTGTTTATTTAATATTTGATATAGTATATTGCCTAGTAGTAAAGTTTCTTTAAGGGCCTTATTTGCATTTAGCTTGGTAAAATGTTGATATTCATCAGTCATCTCTTTATGTGTGTGTGTGTTTTGCGTGTCTTGGGCATGGGTCTTGTGCGATAGTCAACTCTTGGCTCTTTGAGCTGATTTATATTTTATGGTTGACAGGTGAGAAAGTTAAACCTAAGTCCCTTTCATTCTTTCTTTAGGTTTTTATTTCTTTTTAAAGGGAGAGAAGGGGATAGAAGTAGGTATAAAATAGAATTTGATTACAGTAAGGTTTAGGTGCACCTCATTGAGTAATTAATCACTAACTCTTTTACCATTAAAACAGGTCCAAAAAGAAACAACATTACCTCGTGGTGTTTTCCACATTTGTCTGGTTTGGGGCAAGAATATGAGACTGGTTTTCTTTATCTGCCTTTATAATGCATAACTCCTTTGCGCGTTAGCCTTTAAACATCAGAAAAAGAAAGGAATGAAATAGACTGGTGAAATATGACTGGCAGTGAATTCTTGTTTAAAAATGTGATGTTTTCTTTGAAAGAGAAAGAAACCAAAAGAGGTATAATTCATTGCGCTGTGTCTCAAAAATATTTCTGCTTTCAAACAGGAATTTTTTTCCCTGATGTCTGCATCTAGGATCAATGAGAAAGGGACAAAAACAGTCCATTCTTTTTTTCAGTTGAGTGTCAGTGCTATCTACTAGTTTTGTGTGGTGTCTGAATTCATAATCAAAATTTGAGTTTTTTATTTAAAACCAGGCACTTTTTATATGAATACTAAAAATGCATGTTCATAAATGAAATACAAAAATTGAAATTAATATCTTCTATATATTTTTCATATGATTAAATTTACTTTTTTACCTACCTCTGACATTAATGCTGTTATTTTCTGACATATAGGGTGTGTTTATGTACATTTCTAATAGACATGAATTTGGAAGGCTGTTATCCACTGCTAATTACAATACTTCTCATTATAACAATGACCTCTGGCAGATTTTTGAAAATCCTGTGGTATGTATTTCATATTCAACTTTATTATTTTTCTGTAACTCTAAGTGGTTATAAATCAGTTGTTTAATAATATGAAATGTGGTTAAAGGCTTTAAAAAAATGACATAATGTGAAATGCACATCAAAACCGCAATGAGATGCTGTCTCACACCAGTCAGAGTGCCTATTATTAAAAAGTCAGAAACAGATATGGGTGAGGCTACACGGAGAAAAGGGAATGCTTGTACATTGTTGGTCACTATGTAAATTAGCAATTTGGAAAGCAGTTTGAAGATTTCTCAAAAGATCTTAAAACAGAGCTACCATTTGACCCAGCAATTCCATTACTGGGTATATAGCCAAAAGAAAATAAGTCATTTGACCAAAAAGACACATGCATCTGTATCTGTTCATTGCAGCACTATTCACACAGTAGCAAAGACATGGACTCAAACTAGGTGTTCGTTAATGATGGATTGGATAAATAAAATGTGGTACATACACACCATAGAATACTATACAGCCATAAAAAAGAACAATATTATGTCATTTTCAGCAACATGGATAGAGCTGGAGGCTATTACCCTAAGTGAATTAATGGAACAGAAAACCAGATACTGCATGTTCTCACTTATGAGTGGGAGCCAAACATTGGGTACTTGTGAACATAAATATAGGGACAGTAGATGATGGGGATCACTAGAGGAGTGAGGGAGGAGGGAGGGGGACAAGGGTTGAAAAATCAACTAATGGGTACTATACTCACTACCTTGGTGATGGGATCAGTCATACCCTAAACCTTAGCATCATGCGATATGCACTTGTAACAAACTTGCACATATACTGCCTGAATCCAAAAGCTGAAATTATTTTTAAAAAGTAAATAAAAAGAAAAAAATTAAAACGACATAATTAATTGTATTTCATGATCTATACAGTAGATCTAAACTTGACCAATAACTTTCTTTTTTATTAGGACAGTTACTAGGTTTGGGGAAGGAAATTATCAATTTGTTGTCTTCCAATATTCTAGTATTTTTGTTTTGTGTATTCAAAAGCAGCATCCAGTTTTAATCATAATTTTAGAAGCATGTCTACAAATAGCTCACATATTATAATAGTTTGATTTTTTAGAAGAAAATTCAAAAATTTTGTTTAGGAAAATACATTTTTTAAATTATTTTTTGGCAATTTTGTGAATGTACATCAAAGATAGCCAGAGAGAATTGCAGAGAACACTGATTCAGCATATGAAGAGAGTCTTAACTTGAAGAAACGGTTTCTTTTTAACATCTGTTTTCTTCTTTCTTTTTTTTTTTTTTTTTAAACAGAGTTGAATCTGCAGTAATTAGCTCCTTTTGTGTTTTACAGGGACATCTTTTTGTTAGGCAAGTGGCACACTTATTTAGGGGAAAATACTCTCTTCAACAATCAGACATGTAACACAGCTGTAATGATTTTCCCCTTGCCAATAGTAAAAGTTTTAAATTGCAGACTAAATCCACCTGAGGAGAGTTGTCCTTTGTTTTGTAGGAATAGTTAAGATACCGGGATAGTAAGTGTAGTAATCTCTGAATATTCTGAATAGGAATATAACATCTTTTGACATTTTGTTATTTTAAAAGTACTTTTGTACCATTTTAGCCACATACCTTCCTCTTTCACAGAAGTAAAGTTGAAAAGAGGTGTTTTCTAGTCGTGAGGGTAGAATTCCATATTTCACTTCACCATTGAATCTCTTGGTGTTCTTAAGGGATAGAATTATTTGATTTCTTGGATGTCATTAGGTTCCTGGTAGGATGTCCTGAATTATATCCTGAATTGTAGATATTTGTGCAAGGATTCAAGTCTTTGGAAAGTAAGCAATGAAAACATCAGAACTGAGTAGGAACAACTTTTCTTTCCATGGCTTTCTTTGTTCTCTGTTAAATCAACCTGTTTAATATGCCTCATGAGGGATATCTCGTAGCAACATGCATATTGATTATCCCATTATCAGAATATCTAAGAAATTAATAAAGTCACAGTTTACTCAATGATTTAAAAGGTGATCTAAAATGAAATGTTAATACTAATGCCCTAAAATAAAATCTTGGGGGATTTTTTTTACTTGAAGAAAAATCAGTATTGATGCACAGGTAAAAATGCTATAGGTAAAAATTCTTAAATCTTATGGATGATTATTCAGTTTCTTCCCATATTTTAGAATCAGAAAGCTAATTAATATTAGAGGGAATAATGAGATAATACAGAAATCTGATCCATATATACCATATAAACATGAAATTTATTAAAATTTTGAAGATTACCTTTGTTTCCTCCACATGAAAAATGTTTGAGTTCCATATAAACAGATATACAAAACTAATGACATAAATTATGATATAAATATTCAGACCCTAAAATGGAGCCTCAAAAGATGTATTTAAGGCAAATATCTTTTGAAACATCTTTTGATTGGAATTATTTTGAATCTGTGTCTCACTTCCTCCCTGCTGGCTCTTTGTATTTGCACTTTGTAAAGAGAAAATTAACAATTTCTAGAAATATTCTAAATTTAAGAGATCTTTTTGGATACTTGTATCACTCCATATATTAATATGTTCACGTTTTAGTAAATACCCATATTTGCATAAAGAATTTGACCCAATAAAATCATTATTTAGCTTCTGTTGAAAAAAGTTTAGATATCTTTATGTGTGGATTTTATGCCAGAAATTGGTCAAAAAGAATCAAATTCATGAATTAGAATAAAGAGGAACTGTTTTTCAGTATAGAGCCCTAACCCTTATTTTAGTAACTGAAAGAAGTGAAAGTGCTAGTAAACTCATGTTTATTCCTTGATAAATATTAATGACTGAAATGAAGGCAGAAATTTTTAAAATTCATTAAAAAAATCAAAAAAAGAATAATGTACTATAGACATATAAGACAGACCCTAGTTAATTAATTCACTAATTCATTTTTACAAATATTTTTGGTAGAATTTTGCCCCTTGTCTTTTACCTTTAAGCACGCATTTGTTTACCTACTCTGTGTATATATTAAAATACTGATGGTCCCCAACTTATGGTGACTTGATTTAGGAATTTTCAACTTTATGATGGATTTATCAGGGTATTGTGTGTTTTTAACCTCCCACGAGTTTATTGGGACATAACGTCATCGTGAGTCAAGGAGCATCTGTAAAATGTGTAAATCTATTCACCATAAGATTACTTAAAAAATCCTGAGGTACAATATTTCATAAATAAAAATTTTGTATTTCATAGAATGACATAAGCATATTCAGAACCAGGCAAAGATTAAACCATATACTGTGGCTTCTGAAAATTACTATTTTGTCCACTATACATAATCATTTATAAGTTGAATAATTTCTAAAATGCATATGCTTTATACTTTTCAGTATTTATAAAGATATTTGTTTTAATATGTACTTCTTTTTATAGGACTGGAAGGAAAAGTATATAAACCGTGATTATTCAAAGATTTTCACTGAAAATATAGTTGAACAGGTTTGTATTAATGATTACAAAGTATAGAAAATTTTGCTGTTATTTTCCAGAAGAAATATTATTAATATAATACTACTTTCACAGAAGATGTGAAAGTGGAGAAATTTTAAAAGCATGCCTTTTTAAAAAGCATGCTCCTAAGTGTCATAGCTTTCTGACACCACTAGATACAGGAACTGTTGACAGATCTCTGATGTAGAACTCTTACAGTGAAAGCTTATCTTTGGAAGAGACTTGGCTCTCTTTCTGAAAGAGTCTTTTCTCAGAGACATCTTCAAAACATGAATTCTCTTTTAGCTTATTGTTCAAAACTACTGTTAATACCTAATTTTTGAGAATGTAAGATGTCATCAATTCTGAAGTGCACCATTATTTATGTACCATGAGAAAAAAAATACTGTCAATAAACCATGAAAGAAAACTATGTTTCCTAGTCATATAGGATTTTTTATTTTATACTTATTAAAATAACTATTTTAGACTACGAAGACACCGAAGTTATTATGTCTTCTAACAATGATGCATATTTTATAGCCCTGTCCAGATGTCTTTTGGTTCCCCATATTTTCTGAAAAAGCCTGTGATGAATTAGTAGAAGAAATGGAACATTACGGCAAATGGTCTGGGGGAAAACATCATGTAAGTCATAATTTCACACTAAGAACTAAAATGTGTGTGTGGGTTAAGTAGATACTCAGATAATTCTGAGGGGTTATACACTTTTTCTCATATGTCTTTGAGTTCTAGACCTAGAAAAATTGGCTAGCCAAGGCTGATTTCAGTCTACTTCTCCCACCAACCAGTTATTTAACACTTAAGTAATTTCATCAGTCTGGGTGGGTTTCTCATTTATGCATTTGATTACACTGGATGTTTGCTAAGGGTCGGTGTCCTCAGGCCAGAGTTAATGTTAGGTAACACATGTCTTAGAGTGATACCTCTGTTTTCCAAGGCCACTTTTTATTCTTGCATTTTCACAGTGAGCTGTGGTGAAAACTCTAAGGCAAACTTTATCTGTCAAAACTGTGTTTTTGTGTGTAAAGATAGGAAGGAGGGATCTGAGTGCCTTAGGTGTAATTCAGTTTTGCATTTGCATTCAATGTCAAAGACTTGGCAGGAAATACCCCTGCCAGTGGTTAGATGTGTTTCTTTTCCTCTGAGAACCACATGCCATTTTAGTAGAATACTCTGGAATATTACTGCCTCTGCACGATTATGTCCCCCAGCTAATGAGCTGATAAGGGAGAGGGAAGCTTAAAGTATAAGGAAAAACTTAAAGTTGGTAGGTGGTGAAATAATGAAAAGCAATCGTTCAAAGACTTTTGAGTGTTACAAATATAGAAGTGAGGAAGGGCGGGGAAAGCTTGTTTTCAGTATTTGGCAATACAGAAAGCAGATATGCCATCAGTATGCTCATCTAGCAGCTAAGACTGCCTAAAGGGTCAGTGTAAAAAAAGACTCATTTTTAAGAGGGGATATGAGGGCTTAGGAAGTCAATTTTATTTACTTTATAGTTAAACTTTACATATACATATAAAAAGTAGGAAAGGAGTCTACTGACCTTATTTACTTTGTTTCATCATTGTATCATTGACAAAGATGTTACCTAAGTTATTTTGATAATTTTACAGTTAAAGCAGATGATAAGCCACATTGGAACTACTGTTATTTTTCTTGTCTATTATGATCTGTGGTTGAAAAAAAACTATAATATAAATGGGAATTGCACGTGGACAACACCTATGATGTCATTAATGTTGTTTCTAGGATAGCCGTATATCTGGTGGTTATGAAAATGTCCCAACTGATGATATCCACATGAAGCAAGTTGATCTGGAGAATGTATGGCTTCATTTTATCCGGGAGTTCATTGCACCAGTTACACTGAAGGTCTTTGCAGGCTACTATACGAAGGTAGTTATCCTCCCACCCCTCCAGCCTCTTTCTTACCAACTGTTACACAGGTGTTCTTTTTAATGTTTTTATTAATAAGCAAATCCACTGGCTTACTTTGCTTTTTCAGGGATTTGCACTACTGAATTTTGTAGTAAAATACTCCCCTGAAAGACAGCGTTCTCTTCGTCCTCATCATGATGCTTCTACATTTACCATAAACATTGCGCTTAATAATGTGGGAGAAGACTTTCAGGTAATTATGACTTTTGTGTTTTTAGATTTTTCAAAAGAAATATGTCATTATGAAAAGGACTTTGCCTTAGGCCTTACTTTCTTTTTTAAATTTTGCTCAAATGACATAATTTGAATTTTGCCACTGGTTAAATATAATCTGATATATTCCTTCATTTTAACTTTTTTAGGGAGGTGGTTGCAAATTTCTAAGGTACAATTGCTCTATTGAATCACCACGAAAAGGCTGGAGCTTCATGCATCCTGGGAGACTCACACATTTGCATGAAGGACTTCCTGTTAAAAATGGAACAAGATACATTGCAGTGTCATTTATAGATCCCTAAGTTATTTACTTTTCATTGAATTGAAATTTCTTTGGACGAATGACTGGCATGAACACGTCTTTGAAGTTGTGTCTGAGAATATGAGAGGAATATTTAAATAGCATCAACAGAACAACTTCACTTTGGGCCAAACATTTGAAAAACTTTTTATAAAAATTGTTTGATATTTCTTAATGTCTGCTCTGAGCCTTAAAACACAGGTTGAAGAAGAAAAGAAAGAAAAAACTTAAATATTTATTTCTATGCTTTGTTGCCTCTGAGAATAATGACAATTTATGAATTTGTGTTTCAAGTTGATAAAATATTTAGGTACAAATGACAAGACTAATATTTTCTTATTTAAAAACATGGGAAGATTTTTATTTATCAAAATATAGAGGAAATATAGACAAAATGGGTATAAATGAATTACCATGTTTTAAAACCTTGAAAATCAGATTCTAACTGGATTTGTATGCAACTAAGTACTTTTTTGAACACCTATGCAGGTCTTATTTACAGTAGTTACTAAGGGAACACACAAAAAATTACACAACGTTTTCCTCAAGAAAATTAGTACAGGGGCCGGTCGCGGTGGCTCAAGCCTGTAATCCTAGCACTTTGGGAGGCCTAGGTGGGCGGATCACGAAGTCAGGAGATAGAGACCACCCTGGCTAACATGGTGAAACCCTGTCTCTACTAATACAAAAAAAAGAAATTAGCCGGGTGTGGTGGCGGGCTCCTGTAGTCCTAGCTACTCCGGAGGCTGAGGCAGGAGAATGGGGTGAACCTGGGAAGCGGAGCTTGCAGTGAGCCAAGATCGCGCCACTGCACTCCAGCCTGGGCGACAGAGTGAGACTCCGTCTTAAAAAAAAAAAAAAAAAGAAAGAAAATTAGTACAAAACACAACCGAGGAGCGTATATGGTTGAAAACATTTTTGTTTTGATTGTAAGGCAGATTATTTTACCTTTGTATTAAAAATCAAACCCTATGTTTCTTCAGATGAATCTTCCAAAGTGGATTATATTAAGCAGGTATTAGATTTAGGAAAACCTTTCCATTTCTTAAAGTATTATCAAGTGTCAAGATCAGCAAGTGCCCTTAAGTCAAAACAGGTTTTTTTTTTTTTTCTTTGTTTCCTTTTTTAGAAAGTTCTAGAAAATAGTGAGGAAAAAGAAAAATTTCATTGAGATGAGTAGTGCATTTAATTATTTTTTAAAAAACACTTTTTAAGTACTTGAATTTTATATCAGGAAAACAAAGTTGTTGAGCCTTGCTTCTTCCCTTTTGCCCTTTGTCTCCTTATTCTTTTTTGGGGGGGAAGGTTATTTGCTTTTTTATCTTCCTGACATAATTTCCATTTTATTCTTCTGAGTGTCTATATTAACCTCCCTTTATCCCACTTATAAAAAAATTCTCCAACAAAAATATTTGTTGACTTGATGTTTTATCATTTCTCTAAGTAAGGTTGAAATATCCCTATTGTAGCTACTGTTTTTAATGTAAAGGTTAAACTTGAAAAGAAGTTCTTAATCATGGTGCCAAAATTCATTTTCTAACACTGTGTGTTAGAAAATTATAAAAAATAAAATAATTTTAGAAAGTTTTGTTATCTTTATTATTGGTGTTTATCTTCAGAAGTGAATACATGATGAAATTGTGTGAAAGAATAAAACCTATGATTTTTCATTTTGCTTAGTAGATTTAATGATATGTGAAACTATTGAATTATAAATGAAATTATAAAATCTTCAATTTTAGGATGACTACGGATTTGATATAACTTGTTTTACAAGTGAGAAAATAGAAGCCAAACGTTATTCAATATAGGTTTATTTGTTTATTAATATTTTCCGAGTCTCTATTATGGTCCAGGCACTGTTCCAGGCACCAAGGATATGTTGATGAACAAGACATTATAGTCACTGGGAGATGGACTTTAAAAGATAAGAAAGTTGGGTTCTACCCCGTTCTCTTCTTTGGCGACACTTAATACCCAAAGAAAATTTCTACTATCCATCAACTAGGATGAGGAGACATTTTAGTAATGATTTGTGAATTATGTTACTATACATCAGGAATGGTTTTCAAAATATGTAACACCTGGTATGACGTAGAAGCCAACTCATCAGAACAGACTCTGGTTATAAAAGCAGATCAGTTCCTACCAGTGCAAGCCAGCTTAATATCTCTTGTGGTACAATTCAAAGACATCTCCCAGATACTAGTTTTTTTCCATTTTGGTATCCATGGGTGGTTTCCTAGCGTAACTATTTCAGTCTCATGCCATGTTTTCAGAAATGGGATCCAGGTAGGCTATTGAGCACACTTTTTTGTCTTTTCTCTTATCCTACATTCCATGAAATAATATGAAATGTAGCTTTAAAAACATGATTCATAATTAGTGAGGGAAAATTAGAAAAATTCCCATAAGTAAATTAAAAAATTTGAAAAATGGAAAGCAAGTAGAATCGGAAGGATGGAGAAAAATACAGTTTGAAACACACAGAGCAGAAGACACAGAAAGTATATCTATTGTTTGATTCATTTTATGCAATATGATAAAGACTTTTAAAAGAAAAAAATACACACACATACCCATATATATAAATAATTATCCCCTGAATAATGTGGGTGTTGAGGCACTGATCCCGTGCAGTCAAAAATCCACATGTACCTTTTGACTGCCTCAAAACTTATCAACTAATAACCTACTGTTGACTGGAAGCCTTATTGATAACAAACAGCTGATTAACGTTTATTTTATATGTTATGTGCATTATACACTGTATTGTTACAATAAGCTAGAGAACAAGTTATTTAAAAAATTATAAGGAAGATAAAATACATGTACTATTCATTAAGTGGAAGTGGATCATCAGAAAGGTCTTCATCCTTGTTGTCTTTGGGCTGAGTAGGCTGAGAAGGAAGGGGAAGAGGAAGGTTGTCTCGGGTGGCAGAGACAGAAAAAACCCGCATATACATGAGCCTGCATAGTTCAAACACATGTAGTCAAAGGGCTTATTGTGTATCTCCAACAATCAGATATCTCTGACAGATGAACCTGATAAAGTCACACTGTTTAGAGTATGATACCATTTATGTTAAAAAAACAAAACAAAACAAAACTATGTATGTGTGCATAAACCTACAGCAAATTTCCGAGAGAGGAACAACTCTGGAGAGTGGTATGAGGTCATGGAGGAGTAAATGGGATTTATGCCTTTTACCTTTTACACTTGTGTTTTTGAAGTATTATAGAAATATATTTGTGTATTGATTAAAGAAAAAAAGACTAGAAAGGAGACATTCACGTAACTAATTTGAATAAATGAAAGCATATGGATGTCAATAGTAACTGTGCGCATGTTTGTGCACAAGTGTGCATGTGTGTGTATGTATATACATACATTGCCAAGGTGCTTTAAATGCTCACCGTGGTGGAATTTTTTCTAATTCTTAATGTGCATAGGAATCAATATGAATATTTTCCTTAATATAGATACTTCAGTAATAGTCCAGTGCGTTAATCTTCAATTCTGCTTCATCTTTGAAAACACTAGTAATTTATCTGTATTGGTAACTTAACTAAGAAGTCAAATATCCTTCTATGGAATAGAAATGTGGAAAACAATGAATATATGAGTTGAGTGGTCCATTCTCGTCACAGAATCTCGTTTTATACTCACTTCTATTTTCCTGTCTGACATATGTATATCTTGATTTATCTGCTTTTTATGCCCTAAAGCCCATTTTACATGACATGCTGGTAACTTGTCATTCATTTGGAATTTGGAATGGTTATTCAACAGATTTCTTAAAGTTGCAGAAGAGCCCAGTAGAATTTTTAGTCATAATTGAGTCTGTGTAAATAACTCCCTCTGACTAGATGTTAACTGTTGTGGAATATTGAAGTCTTCAAGACTTCATGAAGCAGTGTATCAAACAGAACTGTTTGTTTTGTGGTCTTTTAGAGTAGCAAGCTACAACATTGTTTAAGAATAATTATTAGGAAAAAGCCATTAGGAAGAAAAATAGGGAAATGTATAAAACTTTTTAATGCAACGAGTTTTGGATTAAAATGGAAGAGAAGTACACTGAGAAATAATGAGAAGAGAAAGTTGTACATGTAGAAATGCTTTAAAAATGTGAAGTATCGTGTAATTACATTATTTTGATAAAAGAAATTAGAATGGGAAGGTAAGTAAACAGGTTAGGGATTTGTGAACTTTATAAGTCTTAAATCTTTCTAATAGCATTTAAAACCGTACTTAACATCATTGTTTATCAGAGAAATGCGAATCAAAACTACAATGAGATATTATCTCACCCCAGTTAGAATGGCTTATATCCAAAAGACAGGCAATAACAAATGCTTGAGAGGATGTGGAGAAAAGGGACTCCTCACACACTGCTGTTGAGAATGTAATTCATTACAAACACTGTGGACAGTTTGGAGGTTCCTCAAAAAAAAACTAAAACTAGAGCTGCCATATGATAGAGCAATTCCAGTGCTTCGTATATACCCAGAAGAAAAAGAAATCAGTATATCGAAGCAGTATCTGCACACCCATGTTGGTTGCAGCACTGTTCACAATAGGTAAGATTTGGAGACAGCCTAAATGTCCATCAACAGATGTATGGATATATTTTAGTTTTATTCTTAATATATTAAAATAAATGAGGAAACATTCATTTGGAAAAGTGGTTTCATTCCTGACAGGTATTAATGAAGTGGTGGTAATGTTTGTTTAATAAATCAAGAGACTGATGAGCTTAGCATGCTATTCTATCTTCACTGAAACTTGGTTGACTCAAAATCTGAATATTCTCTTTTGAAAATTAGAAATTTCTGCCTTTTCAACAATACAAAACACAAATAATCAACTGCAAGAATAATTTTAGAAGACAAAATGGATGACCCTGAAGTGAGTATTAGAGTTCAAAATAAATTAAGCGATGGAGGAGGAAAAAAAAATACATTTTATGATGGTTAATGAACTAGTCTGTGATTAATTATAAAATAATTTTAAAAGACATTATTTTAACACTGGTTTAAAGCCACTAAATCTGTTTGGGATCGTGATGTGAAATGACAAAATAATTCTGCACCTACTGAAGACAATTTTATATATGATAAAGCTCAATAACTGCTAAGTGAGAAGTGGACAAATTAAATGATAGTTTTCTTCTGATAATGTTTGGAGAATTGATTAATTTTAAATAGTGCATATTTGCAAGATGAGACTATCCTATTATATTTTGTTTTATTACATTATTTTCGTCTGTATTTACATGGTTTTTGTATCTTACAAATCTTGCCAAATTGTGACATCACAGCTCCACCTTGTGGTCAAAATAGCTAACGGAATCTAAATTTAAAGCAAATGCAAGAGCTTTATAAAATCATGTTCATCAATTTTTTTCCCAAAGGCTAATACTAATAAAATGATAAATATTGGATGCTTTTATTCAGGAATTATTTATATGTTTTTAAGTATGATACAATACAACATTTTAAAAGGAAGAATTGTGACACCTTATTCTGAAATAAGGGGTAGCTAGCGTATTTCCAGTTAATACTGATGATTTGTTTTCTATTTTTATTTAATTTGTAAACTGCTTTAATCTATGTTCAATAGAGAATATTTACTTGGATTAATAATAAAATAAGCATAAGAGTAGTCAGATTCGACTACAACTGATAAAATAATTTGTTTAGAGTAGATAAAATTACTTAATTTACATAATATTAAAACAGTTCCATAGGATCTTATTGTAAAAACAAAATGTTAAAAATGTCTGTTTGTTAGGAAAAGGTAAATCATAATTTTTCTTTATTATCAGTACAGAACTGGTAAGTGCAACAATGAGGACAAGAGTCTTGTGGTACTCAAAATTGGGCGATTCAGATACTGTGAAAATTATAATCTTTGTTTTGACTTTTTGAAGATTAACAAAATTTATTCCTGCTGAAGTTATGCACCAAAGTAGTTCTAATTTATTCCAGCTGTTGCACATTTACTTATTGACCACACAGCCTCCTAGATCACCCTTTTCCTCCTTTGGGTCACTTAGTGTCTTAGCTGCTGGATGAAATCAAGGGGATCCTCAGCTAATGCTGGAGTAGTGTCATTGATTTTCATATTGTCTCAGATAGCTTTCCCATTGACCTTCTATGAGCCAAGAGGAGAGGGAATTTTTAAAATGTGTATTTTTGAAATGATTTTGTGCCTGTGATAGCAAGTCGACAAAGATGGTCCTCAATGAACCATGCTTCCCAGTACTCGTACCATTGTGAACCCAGGTGGGTCCTCTGTAACCAACAGAATGCAGTAGAAGTGACTGCCTAATTTCCAAATTGAGTTATGAGAAGCTTTGTGGTTTTGAGCTCTTGGAACATTTACTGTTAGGACATTCTCTGTAGAATCCAGGTGCCATGCTGTGCCCATGCCACATGGCAAGGCCATGTGCAAGGACTCTGGCCAACATCTGAAACCAAGCTCCTGCATCAACTTCTACCACATAAGTGAATTATTTGGACATCAATCCCAGATGAATATAGCTGTTGTCAACTTCTGCCTGCAACCACATGTGAGACCCTTCAGCCAA